AAAAGTTTTTCTCTTGCGTTTTCAAAAAGTTTCACGTATACACGACAACGTTTTCAAAACGATTCGCGTTGACACATATCCGTGATAACGGCCAAAAACGCTGTATTACGTATGCCAGGCCAGTAGTTGGCGCTGTCACCTTGTTAGTTGGTTGTAATATTGGTGAAGTAAATCCACACTTTGCTGAAGAAGCGTTAGCAAACTCTTGAGCAGCAACAACACTACCACGTTCTCCGCCATTGTTGTGTATGTTTGTTCGCGCTTGCCTTTACAATAGACACGTACTGCGCATGTCTACATACCTAACACGTACTACGCACGCGCATGACGTCACCGCTTTCAAAGATTCCCATATTGGGTGTTTACATGGAGACGATAACGGCGGCGTTTTCAAAAACTTGCACTTTTAAACCCGTTTTCAAAAATATGCGTTTTCAGTCCCCAAAACGCCGTCGTCGTGTAAACAGTTCCCGCAAAAATGGGAGAAAAAAAACTTATCACCGTGGTTTCATCTTATCCTGTGATACACAAGCTGTTATTACATGTTTATAGAAACGTTACGATGAAAAATAAAGCTTGGGAGGGAGGAGCAGAGATCGCTGGTGCCTCTGGTGAGCGTACGTAGCACAAAGCTGAGCACGTAACATAAAAACCAAACAACCGATATTCACACTAACATGTTAGTTCATTTGTGTTTTGTTCTGACTAATTTGCCTTCAGTTTGCCCGACTCATTCTTTCTCTCACTCCTTCACTCCCTTTTTCTTTCTTCCTTTCCATCTCCGGTGTCATTTTAACATTCTCATTTAACTCTACCTTTCTTTTACTCTTTCTTTTCCTTCATTCCTTTCATTTCTGTATTCGTAAACAGAGCTGATTTAAACCTTTACTCTTTCTCTCAGCTCTTTTGCAAGCGCTTACCTATTTATAACTTACCTGACTTTTCATAAAATAAATAAAAATCTTAGAAAAGTGTGTCACAGTTTAACAATTTATCACAATATCGATGTCATGATTATCCGATTCATCAGATCGCCACTGCCCTGACGAAGTCAATGTAATATACAGTATTTATATAGTCACATAATAAAATCAGAACTTAAATGAAAATTAGTGAACAGCCAATCAGAAGCCGACCCTGATGAAGGACACGGGATGATTAACACACACACACACACACACACACACTGTGTATGAACCGTATCTACTCAGCGTGACTCTACTTATTAATGGATGAGGGAGCGGGGTGCCAATACTTTTCTTCAGGGCAACACACAGTCAGTTGTAGATGGTTGGTCAGTGAGTGTGACGTGTGTAAGAGGTGTGTGTGTGTGTGTGTGTGTGTGTGTGTACCTGGCGGTGTTGAGCAGCGGGTGTTTGGTCCCCACCAGTTTCCTGACGTGCATGGCGACGTTGCTGAGCTCGTCACTGAGCAGGCAGCGCAGACTCATGAAGGACGTCGGATATCCCACGATCTTCTCCGCGTCCGACACGACTTTACTCCAGCTGGACGGAGACGGACCGGAGAACAGACTCAAACTCCTCCATCCTCGCCTCGGAGAACCCAGAGAACCTGGAGAACCCAGAGAACCTGGAGAACCCAGAGAACTCAGAGAACCGAGGAGAGCGAGACGGGAACGCACAGCCATCCTGAAAACAACAACAATCAGATTAATCAGCTTTCTACACATTTTATACACACACACACACACACACACACACACACAGCATTTCTTCTTTCTCTCCTCCATCTGTTTCTTTTCTTCCTCCATCATCCTTTCTTTCTACGTTTTCCTCTCAGCACTTCAATCCTCCTTCTTTCCTCTTCGTTTTGCACTTGCTGTGATTTTGTTCTTTCTCTCCACCAGTTTTCTAACGTCATCTCTCTTTGTTTCTTCTTCATCTCCTTTTCTTCTCTCCCTCCATCTTTCTTTCTTTTTCAATTCTGAATATTTTTTTCTCCTCAGCAGTTTAATCCTTTCTTCCTTTTCCCTTCTTTTTGCACTTGCAAATATTTTTTTCCTTTCTGTCCTTCTTTTTCTCTACTTCTTTCCCTTTTATTCTTTTTTTCTTCTCTTTCTGTTTTTCTTCATCTTTTTTCTTTTGTTTCTATCTAGTTTTTCTCCTTAGGGCTTTTATCTTCTTTCTTTTTTCATCAGTTTGCACTTGCACTTAGTTTTTATTCTATTTTCCCTTCTCTCTCTCTCTTTCCTTCTCTCCTCTTTTTCTCTATTTGTCTTTTTTCACTGTCTTTCACTGTACACTATTTTTTTCCCTAACTCACTCTTTCTCTCGCTCCCTTTCCCCATCTCCTTTCATCTTTTAATGTTCTCTTTTCTTTCCTCCTTTCACCTCTCTCTTTTCTTCTTCTCTTTATCGTTCTATTTGTCCTTCTTCACTTCCTCTTTTCCTGTTGTTTTTCCTCTAACTCACTTTCTCTCTCCTTGCCTCCTTTTTTCTTTCCTCCTTTATCCTGTCTTCCTTTCTCTCATCTTTTATTGTCATTCTTTCTATCTCTATCTCTTATATGTTCTCTTCTATTCGTCTCTGTATAACTTTCTAAAAGGATGAAACTTTTATGCTTCTTGGAACAAACTTACTGCTGTTTCAGTCACTAATGTCAGACCACCACCACTGGCTGTCAGTTTCTACACACCGCATTCCGCTAAATCCCGCCTCCTGCTCTGGGATTGGCTAGTTTCTCTAAGCATGCACTTGTAGCCAATCGCAGCGCAGAAAGCGCTCTAATACTAACCAATCCCTTTTCACGACATGACCGAAAACGGGTGCGACATAAAATAACGCATGTTAAAGCTTGCATGCGACCGTCACTCTCAATGTCACCTTCTTATTGAATGAAACACATCTTGTCTTCAGCCCAAAATTGTCTCCTGTCATTAACAACACTTCTGCTTTAATCCCCTGTTGATAGTCCCTCAAAAAGGATTTACAAGAAATAAAATAAACGGCTTTCTTCTGAGGAAGTATCACAACTGTATATGCACCATAGCTGCCATCTTGAACGACGCGCTTTACGGCATGTCGCAAAAAAAGGCTGAAAACGCCGGAAGACGTTGTCCGTTTACAGCAGTGGCAACAAATCGATACTAAAATGGGCGAAAATACTGATTTTATTTGCTGTACAAACATTAGTATCCTGATACAGATACTTTAAAAGTCTTTTTGTGTATTAAAAAATGGGAATTTAGAAAATCTGCAGTTTGTACAGTGAAATTTTGCACTAATCACACACACAGCTTGTTGTCTTGTGGTTGAGTTAAAGTCATTGTTTATTAAAGGAAAAGTTTACACCATTTTATATTTCATTTTACGAGCTATTACTAGCTGAAATGTGTAAATACCAACTGCTATTTCAAAAAAATCATTCATTTAGAAATTTAGCTCTACAATATTGTTATTTTGTGAGATTGTTTCTTTAAAGTCCTCACGAAACGACTTCAGAGCACGTTTTGATTCTGTATGTTGACGTATTTCCTGTTCAAACAGGAAGTCAGAGTGAGGCATGTTGATGTGCTTAAATAACCAATAGCTTCAAGTTAGGCCACACCCGCCACCCAATCTACACACGCTTGACTTGTTGAGCTAGCTAAATAGCCTATGGAGAAGAGCGAAGAGTTTAACGAGAGTCTTTTTTCAGCTGTGGAGGATTGTTCACTGCTGCCTTCACCCACGCCTGTCCACTTTAACCAGGACCACATCCTGGATGACGAGATGCCGCGTGTTTTTGGAGTCCATGGCGTACATGTTTGAGTCGAGGTCAAACGTGAAGGTGATGGAGAGCCGCAGGATCGTCACCAGGAAACATCCGTCCCATCTGAGTGTTAGATAACATGATATTACTGACTCTCACTGATGGAGACGCACTAACAGTGTATAATTCTCCATTAGTCTGAGGAAGCGACATTCCGGCATTGAACAGCTCCACGTTTGTAAAACACTCCACCCTCTTCCTGATGAATAAACCCCAACCAGGTGATGAATATTCTCCACCAGGTGATGGTTGGAAAAAGGGGATAGTGTGTGGGAAGACACACAGCCAAAAACACACCAGCAAACTATGTTTACTGCTACTGTAGAGCAAGACACGCCCCTGGGGGTGGGACATTTGTGCTCTAGAGAGCGTTTAATTGGACGAACACAAAACTAGTACAGGATGAGTCATCAAATGATTCATTTCCAAAAGTGACAAAGTATAAAATTAAAAACTAGTACATCTCCAAAACTGTTTACTAGTGCTGTCCATAAGGTTAAAGGACAAATACAAAAACTGATTTTGATATTAAGGGCAGTTTAACGTCATAAAACCTTGAACTGATCATTTGTCAGAAATCTTAATGGTTTTATTGATTTATGCTAAGCAGATGTGTGTCCTGTGTGTCCTGGTTCGATTTAACAAGGAATAAATCAAATAAATCTGGAAACCAGACAGATCGTGGGGATTCACTCAGCAGGACACTTGGCAGTGAGTGAGACAGGCACACACAGTCTCACACACATACACTGGGCTGAGAGAGAAAGAGAAGACTACATAATGGAAGCCCAACACACACACACACACACACACCACCCACCAGCCAGATTCCTTTGAAATTCAGTAAATTTGACCTTTTATTTCAGATAGGGTTTCGTTAGTCTAATTAACTGCACATGCCGTTCACCTTCTTACAGCAGCGGCTCAGGATTCTTTTATTAGAGAGGCGCACGGACGATCCGATTACACCGAGGGACGCTTTTCATCCTGTTTTAGGCAAACTATTCTATTCTTTACAAATGTACGCTTGTCCACCGGTTCACCACCGTCACCCTGGAGACTCCTGAACACAACCACACGGAGAAGACGATTTAATATTTATTTCTTCTGCAGACGCATTTCATACAGATGCTTACGAGTGAAGAATCCAGTCCAAATTGCAGAAAATCCACCCAAATGACGTGCCTACTATCACAATTTATAATCAGTTTTTTAGTTTTGCATCCATGGGCTCGGTGGCTTAGTGTTTAGCACTGTTGCCTCGCACCTCCGTGGTTGGGGGTTCGAATCCCGCCTTCGCCCTGGCTGTGTGGAGTTTGCGTGTTCTCCCCGTGCTTTTGGGGGTTTCTCCGGGTACTCCAGTTTCCTCCCCAGTCCATAGACATGCGTTGTAGGCTGATTGGCATTTCCAAATTGTCCGTAGTGTGTCAATGGGTGTGTGAGTGTGTGTGTGATTGTGTCCTACAATGGATTGGCACCCTGTCCAGGGTTTCCCCCGCCTTGGATAGGATGCAGCCTCCCCGTGACCCTGTGTAGGATAAGCAGTACAGAAAATGGATGGATGGATAGATGGATAGTTGCGACTACCTGCTGATAGTTGTGCAGTGGGATTTATCCCTCGCTTAACGTCTATATAAAGAGAGTGATGCGGCGGCGCTTTAGTGCTTTAGTTTGTCCAGCTCTCTCACCTCCTCATATGCACACTCTGCTCAAACAGATCAGCTTCCAAAGCTTCAACTTTCGTTCTAATACCGCCATCAACGCCATCACGCTCGTCATCTCATAGATTGCTAACTATACTAGCTGCACTGCATTCTGGGTCTTTCTGCTATCTGCTTTTGATTTTATTTGTATTTTATTGTATTATATGTATTTTCATTTTATTTGTACAGCATGTTTAACAACAGACAATGTTACAAAGCATCTCTACAGAAATCCAGATGGAGATTCAGATCCGTAATTGACAAGAGACAATAGCAAGGAGAAACTGGCTGATTTACCAAAAAATTCAGATTTGAGTTGTGTGTGTGATTAAAACGCAAGTGTGTGTGTGTGTGTGTGTGTGTGTGTGTGTGTGTGTGTGTGTGGCTCCAGCTGTTTCACATCTCCTCTTATCCCCAACATGTCGAAATCCTTTAAGTGTCTTTTTAAAATGGACACACACTCTCTCTCTCTCTCTCTCTCTCTATCACACACACACACACAACCAAACTAAGCAGAGATTTAAAAAAAAAAATTTTTGTTTCATAACCACACTTTTTCCCAGCAGCCCATCCTTCCCTCCCCATGAGACGTGAATTCCATCCCATAATCATATTTGTCACTGCATTATTAGACCCACGCTCGTGTTTACCATCCCATACTCCTCTGCACTTGATCCACATTACGCTCGGAGTCGGATGGTGAGTGAAAATGAAAGCCAATCCGAGCAGGAGAGAGGAAAACACACACACACACACACACACACAGAGTCCGCACTTGTTTTTAGATGTACGCGGTGGAGAAACCGAATCCGCGCTCGTGTGGAAAGTGTTTACCACCGGATAAAGTTCTTGCAAGGAAACAATGCGCTCATTCAGTGGACGCCGGCGTATGCTCCTGATCTCACAGACGAGAGAGAGAGAGAGAGAGAGAGAGAGAGAGGGAGAGAGGGAGAGAGAGAGGGGATCTTGTGCCACCAGTGGCCCTTAATCTATAGCATGAGGGTCTTAAACTATATCATAAGATTTAAGGGTCTTAATCTATAGTGTAAAACCCTTAGTCTATATCATAAGGTTCTTGATCTATAGTGTAAGGGTCTTAATCTGTAGTCTAAGGGTCTTAATCTATAGTCTAAGGGTCTTAATCTGTAGTCTAAGGGTCTTAATCTATAGTCTAAGGGTCTTAATCTGTAGTCTAAGGGTCTTAATCTGTAGTCTAAGGGTCTTAATCTTTAGCGTAAGGGTCTTAAGATATAGTCTAAGGGTCTTAATCTATAGTGAAAGGGTCTTAATCTATATCGTAAGTGTTAAGTGTCTTAATCTATAGTGTAAAGCCCTTAATCTATAACATAATGGTCTTAATCTATAGCATAATGAACTTAATCTATAGCATAAGGGTCTTAATCTATAATCTGAGGGTTTTAACCTATAGTGTAGGTCTTAATCTATAGTGTAAATCTCAAGTGTCTTAATCTGTAGTGTAAAGCCCTTAATCTATAAGGGTCTTAAGATATAGTGTAATTGACTTAATCTGTAGTGTAAGGACCTTAATCTACATCATAAGGTTTAAGGGTCTTAATCTATAGCGTAAGCGCCTTAATCTACAGTGTACAGGCTTTAATTTTCAGGATCCAATACACACACACACACACACACACACACACACACTTCCTGACCATGAATCTGGCCTGGACCGAACCGGATCTTTAAATCCTCACTAGATCATAGACAAATTACTGACGACTTGTTGAGCTAAACAGAAATACTACACTATTACACTCCTGGAATAAAAAGGCTGTATCTAGAACCCTTAAGGGTTTAGTCGGATTTTCAGCTGGTGGAACCTTTAATGATCTGCCCAGAGAACCCGTGAGGAACCCTTCTGTAGAACACTGTCCTGAAGGGGTTCTATTCAGAACCTTTTCTTAATGGGAAATCCTCTGATCTATATAAAACCATGGAGAGTGTAAGTGGCACAAGTATAGGTTGTAACACACACACACCCACACACACACACACACACGTTATTTTGTGCGCGCGTTCGTCTCCTGCAGCAACAATGTGTAACTCCATCCGCTCGCGCTGCGCGGTAACCCGAGCCGTGGAAAAAAAAACGGGGAGGAAACAGGCTCGCGCCGCGTACGGTTACCGAATAACAGGCCCCTCCTCCTTTCCTTTCCCTCTCTCTCTCTCTCTCTCTCTCTCTCCCTCTCTCAGAGCTCGGAGACGCGGCACGCAGCAGCAGAAGATGGCTGAGCGCACCGGGCAGCGCGAGCCCCGCACGGCGGCAGCGTCGTTATCCCCGTCGCTCTCCCTGGAGCGAACCTGAAACCCCCTCCTCCTGTTTCTCCTCCTCCTCCAAACACAAACCCAAAGGTTCCCGGTGTCTACACCGTCGCTCCGTGCGTCCGCGAGCCCACCTTGTTTCTCCTGACACACACACACACACACACACACACACGCGCGCGCGCACACGGAGGAATTTTTTTTCTGGTTTTGTTTTCTTTAATCGCAGCATGGCGGAAACGGAGAAGGAGGGCAGCAGAGCTCCGGAGAGCAAGAGGAGCCGGAAACCCGCTCACCCCGTCAAGCGCGAGATCAACGCAGACATGAAGGTGGGTTCCGGTGGGTTCCGGTGGGTTCCAGGAGTGGAGGGAGGGGGGGGGGGGGGGGGGGGGGGGGGGGGGGGGGGGGGGGGGGGGGGGGGGGGGGGGGGGGGGGGGGGGGGGGGGGGGGGGGGGGGGGGGTGTTCACGCGCGTGCTCGTGCACGCTTCACAGGCGCCATTCATGAGCGTGTGGCGTAATGAGGCAGAGTTTTTGCTTTGATTTGTGCGGGTCAGCTTTGTTCCCTCACGAAAACACACGCGCAACACACACACACACACGCACGCACGCGCGCATGCACATGCATATAAACATATGCACGCACGTCTCTAAACGCACACACTATTTCTGCACTCTCTCTCTCTCTCTCTCTCTCTCTCTCTCTGTGTGTGTGTGTGTGTGTGTGTGTGCACCAGGTGCGTTGCATTAGGTGCATGTTTTTTTCACGAGTGTATGTGTGTTTAGGTGTGCTCATTAAAACCTAAGGATGTGTGTGTGTGTGTGTGTGCGCGCGCGCACGCCCACCCCTTCCCTCCTTTCACGCAGCTGAAATGGAAAATTCAGCTGCCTTTCCTACTACTACCACCGACAGGGCCACTTCAGGGCATGCATCCCTCTCTCTCTCTCTCACACACACACACACACACACGCGCGCGCATCAACGCAGACGCTCCATCCGCGACCGGCTGTTGTTACGCTCCAGCTCCAGCTGTGCTCCCATCTCGCGCACCTTTTGTTTTCCGCCGTCTCGAGCGATCCAGATGTTCGTTTCTGTGCGCTTGGGACAATGTGTTAGGACGAAATCTCGCGCGCGCGTGCTTTGTCCTCTCTCTCTCTCTCTCTCTCTCTCTCTCTCTCTCTCTCTCTCTCTGTTATCTTTCGCTCGTGTTGCTTTACAGTTTTGTAGCATTTGGGGTTTTTTTTCGTTTGTGATTTAGAGATGCATCAACTCTCTCTCATCCCTCCATCATCCTCCATCATTCCTCTCTCTCATCCCTCCATCATCCCTCTCCCATCCCTCCATCATCTCTCAATCATCCCTCTTTCATCCCTCCATCATCCCTCCATCAAACATCTCTCATCCCTCCATCATCCCTCCATCATCCCTCCATCACCCCTCTCTCATTCCTCCATCATCTTCCATCACCCCTCTCTCATTCCTCCATCATCTTCCATCAGCCCTCTCTCATCCCACCGTCATCCTCCATCATCCCTCTCTCATTCCTCCATCATCTTTCATCACCCATCTCTCATCCCTCCATCATCCCTCTGTCATCCCTCCATCATCCTCCATCATCCCTCTGTCACCCCTCCATCATCCTCCATCATCCCTCTCTCATCCTTCTCTCATCCCTCTCTCAGTTCTTCTCACACATCCTCATAGCTGTACAGCTGTTTTATTTTATACTATAAGTGCACTCAGTATTAGCAAAATGAAGTTCCTGACCGCAGGCTTGTGGTGTGTGTGTGTGTGTGTGTGTGTGTGTGCATGTGGTGTGTGTGTGTGTGTGGTGTGTGTGTGTGTGTGTGCAGGTTTTTGTCAGAGTCACAAACACTGGTCAATGCGCTGAACATCATCTATGTCCAAAAAAACAACTTCTGCTTACATTCACTGTATATTTACTGAAGATTGATTTTTAAAAAGCAGAGACATTACGGAGTTCATGTGATTTATTTCTGATTTGTGGCTGCATGAGAGGACGTTTTATTTCGATCATATTAGAAATATTTATCATTTTTAAAATAATATTTTAAACAAAAAGTGATGACATTACGGTGTTCATTATTCATTTTCTTTTTTATCCATCCATCCGTAAGTCACATAAAATTTTACTCACTTTCCTTTTACTTTTTTCACATTAATTATTTAAAAAAAAGCTTAAAAATGTTCTAAAGATGTAGTTGCACATGTACTGATAACATTATAAACATTTTGTATAAGCATTTTTGTAGCAGTTTATAACTATATATTTACCATTTTTATTATATATATATAT